AACACAGCTAACCGAAAAAAACATACAAACAGCAACAAATCTAAACTAAGTCAAGCATATAACCAAAAAAATAAAAAGGAAAAATAAAAACATATAGCTTTCACACAAATTGGCCAATAGTGTTAGAACAGATACACACAAAAATATGATTCGATGATTCATAGATCAGACCACCTGATGCATGGGGAAGCAAAAACATCAAGAGAATAACAAATAAATCATGTGAGATAGAGAGGACCAGAGGATGCACTTACCGCCTCTACGGTGACGACCCATGATTTCAATTTAGAGATGCAGAACGAGAACCCTCTCTGGATACGTTTTCGATGGACTGACTTGAGCAGAAAAGGGAACGAAGAGGGGCGGCGTATTAGGAATTTGGCCCAAAAAAAAATTTGGGTTAAGCCTCCAAAAGATACTTTAATTCTTAATTTGTACCCTAAAAAATTAAAAATCTTAATTTTTACATTTAATACTATGAATTAGTAACAATGTGGACCTTGCACAAACTATCTTTCAGTTTTCCGTCTTAAATTGAAGCAAATAAATCGCATGTCTTATGTGAGTCGCACATGATAAAGTTAGCCTTTTTTTATTAATAAAACTCTATTTTTGATACAAAAAAATGGTGTCAAATTGATTACAGGCAAAAATTTGCAATGATGTACGTACTTCATCTTGATCCATGGTCTCTTTTCCTTAAAATCTATTTAGCTTGCTTAAATGAAAAATTGGAACATATACAAGAAAATAGAGGAAAACCAAACAAGAAAACGAATTTCAAAAAAAGAAAATGAATTTGCAATGATGTACGTGCTTCATCCTGATGTGTGAAACACTTGTACCGCACTTGCTTCAATTTATGATGAAAATTGAACGACATTTTAGGTCATGTCTATATTATTATCGATTCATAACATTGAAATTATAAATTAAGATTTTTAATATTTGAGGGTACAAATTAAAAATTAAAATATATTTTAGGGGTATTAAGTGAGATTAATCCAAAACATTTTTCTTGAATTTAGGGTAGGAAAATTACACTTTTACCTCCCTAATTATGGTCCATGTCCAACCTTTTCTCTTGAGCTATCAAGTTTCTTAAATTGTACATTGAACAAGTTATTAGTTTTATATTGTACCAATGATTAATGATGGAAACAAATTTTACACGAATTTCTTTCACCTTTATCCCGATGCGTGGATATTGTTTCTTCAAAAGATAAGGGGGGATGTTTTAAAGACTACAAAAATTAAGAGTAAATTATATATGTGACCCTTAACCTATGACTTTTGTATCAATTAAGTCTCTAAATCTTTTTTTTGTGTTATTTAACTCCTTAAACTCTCTAATTGTGTCAATTGAACCCTTCTATTTTTGACACAAAAAGTAGTAAAGTGTATCACTCACGTTATACAAATAGTTGTAGTAAATTATATATATGGCTCTCAATCTATGGTTGTTTTTGGGTGGTTGGGTTCCAGTGTTTTCTTTCACAGAAAACCTGATTTCAAAACTGAGTTCGGGAAGGCCTGGGTGAGAGTATCACATTTATCTCCGAACTGACAAGAAATGTTCCCTGTAACAAATTAAGCAGTTCCAAAGTTAGATCAACTACAAGAAATTATCCAATTTCATCAGTAAGTGCTTTGTTTTCACCTCTGCAAAACCCTCCATAACATCTGAGAAACCCTTTTGTTGCCAGGACCAACCGTCTTATGTGATAACAAATAATTACCATCCTTCAAAGGATACAAAGGAAAAAGTGGCTTCTCTTCGAGATTTGGCGAGCACAGCAAGGAAAACTTTGAATCCCTCACTGGAGACTGGGATCCAGGAAGCCCAAGCCTCAGTTCTGTGGCCTTCAAATTCAGACAGCCATTATTGTCTCCCGATGTGGTGGATATTGTAGAGCTACCTACGGAAGAACAATCAGACAACCCCATGTAGTTATGCTCTTTCAGTCCCGAGATGTTATGACATATATTACGGTCCAAGGAGGCCGGAGAAGCCAACAAAGTGATGTTTCTCTGATCCGCTTCCTCCCCAGCACCAAGCAGTGGCGGAGACATCACAATTTCGAACAAAACTCCAACTCCTTTTCCTTTTTCTATATGCCCAAACCTGCTTATTCAAGGACAATTGACTCAATTCTATCCTTTTAATCTGAAAATTCAAACAGAATACCAACAAAATGAAAATAACAACATAAGAACCAAACTCCAAAAAGAGAAAGCCAACAAATTTGATAAACTGGCCAGTCGAAAACAGACCATCCCATAAAAAATATCTGAATTACAATCTCAAGATTCTCCTATACAGTAATCAACATATCTAAACCTAATTATCTTCTAAAAGCCACCAATCCAAAATACAAACAGTACACAAACCCAAATTCATGACAATTGTAAAAGTAGCCTATACAGTAACAAGCATTTAAAGTGGTTGAAATCTTCTAATCTAAAGACAGTACCAATAAGGGATAAAGCCAAGAGTGAGTAAAAATTGACCCTTTCAAGTATCAAGGAACAATAAATTGCCAAAGATATAACCAACTTAAAAAAAAAAAAATCCAATTCACTGCAAGGAGCTCAAAATCAAAGAACCAATTCTCAATGAACATCTATCCCACAGTTTGTGCACGCAATCGCAGACATATAGGTAGGTACTAACCCATATACATATTTCTCAAATAGTCATAAATCTCAGGTAATTTATCAAGTAGAAGAGTTCATAGTCTAAAAGACCAAACATTTTCCAACCAAATCAAAACTCTTAAAGAAGATTTAGATCTCCAAAACATACTCAATATCTGAAGTAATTACAAGGAATAACTAACCTAAAGCACAACGTGAAAAATAGAAGGCCTGAACACAGAAGAAATGTAGAAAGTGAAGGTCAGAGAAAGAGATTTACACTTACCTGAAGTAGCTGCTGGATCAGCTTTAGTGATAAGAAAGACAAGGATGATGATGATGACGACGACGACGGAGTGTTTGATTTGCAGTGAAGAATTCACAGAGAGAGAGAAGGCTAAGAACCCTCCATTTGGCAGAAAGTTACAAAAGCTTATTTGCTCTCCGTCGTTGATGAGGTACCACAAGTTGCCTCTAATCTTATTGAAATATATATGGTTTTATACAGTATTAGTCGGCGCACACGTATGCTACCCGTAAACTATTTTTAATATAAAATATCTTAAATTAAAATGATAGAATATCTTGTCTAAAAACCCCTACTTTAATGAGTATAGATGAGAACCACATTTTATAAGAAAACACCACAGGAAAAACACTGGTCAGACTAAATCTAATAGAATGTTTAGTACAAAGAAGCAAAACTAATAATAGTCTAAATGCGATGATCAATTTACGAACATTAAACCCAAATATTTGTAAAGTATGAGCCAAGTACAAGAATTTGTAGTATGATGTGTGTATGACTTAAATTTTAGCAATTAGAGCATACGAATATATTCATTTGTCTTATACAAAGTACCAAAAAAGTAAATTATAAACCCAAAACTATAGAAAAAAAATACAAAATAGCTTTGACAAAGTAGGAAACGAATTTATAAAAGTACAAAAAAAGAATGTAATACAAATGCAAAAATAAGAATCGATTCAATAGGTAAAAACTATGATATTTTTATATACGATGGATGCTCGATTATGACCTGATTGAAAAGCAATAAAAGTGATACATCTTTTTCATTGTGACCCTGAATTTTTAATTGTGCCAATTAAGTCATTTTATATTTTTGTGCTGCATAGTCACGTGAGTGACATACTGTAACAGAGATAGACAAAAAAGCTTAATTGACACAATTAGAGATTTTTTGGACATCTTGATACAAAGATTATAGTTTGAGGACTATTAATGTGATTTACTCTAAAATCAATAAACAAAATAAAATCAAGGTCTTATTTAAAACAGTAAAATGTAATTTGCTATTTTTAGGTACACAAGCTACCTATGAAGGCCTACTGAAAGGATACTCAGTATTATAACATTGAAACTAATGTTAAGAATGTAATGGTAATTACCAAACTTACCAACTCTATGGGGGAATCATTATTTAACAATATAGATAAGAGAAACCAAAAACAGCTCAAGAACTACCTTTCTATGTAATTTAGTCACTAATTTGTGTACAAAAATGGGTTGATATGACTTAGAAAAAAGTGTTTTTGGGACTTTTAACTTATGAAAAAAATATTTTTTTAAAAAAGTAGTATTGAGCTTAACTTATTAAAAACACTTTTTTTTATAAATGAGCAAAATTTGGTTAATTTTATTTATCTCTTAAAGATTGTGAATTTAATTGTGATATGTTATTATTTTTTTTTTTGTTTGAGATATTTATTATATAGGGATAGGGTAAATTAAAAATATGGTGGTTGAGTTTATAATTATGTTATGTTATTAGATTGAGTGTTAATAGATATGATAAATTCGTGCGTCTTATAAATGAGTAATATTTTATTTATTTTAGAATAAAATTTAGGTCTAATTTCGGTGACACCCTTTCTTGATTATGAAATTTCACTAAGACCCGTTGTCAGTTTTTGTCGAGTAGTGGACGTGACAAAAATATTTCTTTTACTACTTTACCCTTAACTTTATATTGTTTATATATACATATACTAGCACGGATCGTAGTATGGAGCCATTTTCGGACGACAGAGGGAGTGGAGGTGACGGTAACGTAGATCATATCTTCGAAGAATTCCAAGGTCATGTATCTCACATCGACCGTCATCTCTCTTCTTGCGCACCCACACCCACACGCAGTGGCAATGGCACTGGGCTCCTTACTTTGTGGTACGATTATTTATAGTTTCAAGGCTTTTGTTCTATTAACAGTAAATTTTTGGTACTCTTAACAAGAATCAAAAAAATAAAATTAAATATAGAATCCTGACATAAATAAAATTTTAAATATTAAATAAAAAAATAATTCAGAATCCTTGTTCTTAGCTTATATTCACATAAATTACTCATAAGAATAATATATTCAACTTCCTAAAGCACGTGTAACTAAAAAGTTTAAAATATCAGTGTATTAAATAAATGTCTAATTTTAAAAAAAATCTTACCAAATAAGTTTCAATAAAATTGACTAATCAAACTTGTTTGATAAATTGATTGACTCGACCCCATTATCTATTACACTAACTCGATTTTATACGAGCATACAAGAAAGAAACTCAACTCAAAATATATTGGATTGCATACAAACAAATTAATGCGTTTAGAAAATCTAAATACAGAATAATATTCTGGACATTATCTTTATGCCCTACTTCTCTTATATTATTTGATGTGATATAATCAAAATAATTGAATATCTAATAAATTTTACATAATTTATTAATTTAACGGTCTATATTAAAATAATATACAAAAACGGTTTAAGGGGGGTAGCCTGTCCACCTATGTACCTAAATACTGCATTAGCAATTCAGAAGTACAGTAGAGTCCCACTACCTCATCATGCCCTTTCTACTGGGGAAGCACAAATGTGTTGGACATTCTATTGGCTGTCCAAGGGGCCAATACCACTTCCTTCGTACCAGCAGAGGAGGTGAGAGAAAAAGAGAGAGAGAGGGGCTGGCTGGCTATCTGTCTGTACTGTGTCTCAGTGAGTCGGAACAACGTTCTTTCAAAACCATTACCCTCCACAGCACAGGGCACAAGCACACGCTACTTCACTCCATTGATGACAGTCTCTGTAGCCCAAAACGTGACTCCATCACCACCAAGCACTCTGATATGGTTACAAGCTCCTCCTAGCAGGAGGGTGGAGCCAGAAAATTTTCTATGGGTAACTAAAAATTCATCAAGCACACAAAGACAAAAAATTAGTGTAAATACAATAACAGAAAAAAATCAAAAAAATAAAAATACAACACTTAACAAAAAAAATAAGGCTAATTATAACTACATTTAATTGATTACGATGAGTTTTTCGTTCTTTAAAAGATATAACTTCACTGTCAATATTATTAAATATGTAATTTGACACGCTTATACAATGACCTTGTATTTTATTATACAATGACACTTTGTTTTCTATGCTAACAAATAATCACTAATTGGTTTGAAAACTAACAACCTTTTTTTATATATCCAAAATTTGTCCCAATATGTTGTCATATTTTTAAACCATGTCCAAAGGTTCCTAATTATTTAGGAATAGGTTTAAGGTAATTGATATGACAATACCAACTGACCTTTGGTCCAATGGTATTCTTTACTTTGTGAAGATTTTGTTTTCTGAAGGTCAACGGTTCAAATTCCCCTCCCAAAAAAAAAAATTGATTTGACAAAAAAAATATGTTAGGGTGGGCATCATTACGTATAATTTTCCATATGACAAAAAATATGGAATATTTGTGGGCTAAAATCCTTCGAGTGGAGGGCTAAAATCCCGTAGCCCAGATACTATCTATGAAACAAGCTTTGTAGACATAAAATACTTACCAATACTCAAGTAAACCTCTGTTTAACAACAAAAGGGTACACACAAATACAAACAATTGCAAGGTTAAGTAATTAAGTTTAAGCAATAAAAAGTGAAGAGAACAATAAATAACTAAACAAAATTTAAAAAATAAGAAATTTCCATTTGAGATTTTTGCTTGATGTACCCACGTGCCTATTATCGAATAGCCATTCGATAGGGGTGTTCAGGTGCTTGCATGTAGGAGCAGTTGACCGCACTGACCATGGTTAAATTAACAAATGTGTGTCATGTCTCAAACACATTGAACTAATAAGCATAGGTTCTTAAATTATAACCCGCTTATAATTGATTTCCCATTGATTTTAACTTTTTTGGGTATGAAATTCTAGAATATTTTAAGGACTACCACCGCAACAGAGGAAACTAAAGCAAAACTCCAACAGTCGGTTGAAAATCTAAAATAACAAATTCATTATCATCATGTAAATAAATGTCTCAATTCGACAAGTGACATTAATCTAAAACTCAATTGAGTCCAAAAATTCAGTTTTTCATACCATTCTACCTAACACAATAGAATATCTAATTCAAGAAAGACATCAAAATAACAAGCACAAAATATTTTTTTGCTCAAACTGAAATAGAACTAAACTAT